GGGCACCCTGAGAGGATATAAGCCAGGGTGGGAGGTCGCGGAGGGAAAGATGTACCCTAGAAGACAGACAACTGAATTCCTAAAGGAAACAGAATGTTTCCAGCCACGGAAGGAGGAAGAGAGAAGGGGCCACTCCATTCCTGGCCTCTGAGGAAGCTCCAGCAGCCGCCGCCAGCCGGGAGAAAGGCCTGAAGCCTGTCAGAGCCGCGCCTGGGTCCTGCCTCTGAGGACCCCAAAAGGGGCGCTGAGGACCCCTGAGAGGGGCGCAGAGACCCGGGCCTGGCCTCAGAGAGCAGTCTGTCATGGTGCAGCCCAGCAGCTCACAGGAGCTGTGAGCGCCAGGTGTCTCTGCCACCACCTCTGGGGGCCAGTCGTGGCCATCGCCCTGGCCAGTGCTGGCCACGTCCCTGCTGACCGCTGGTGGCCATCAGTGACGCCGCCTAGTGAGGGAGCCGCCACTTGGGGCCACAGGCAGCACTTTGTTCCCCTGTTTGTAAAGTAAACCCCATGGCGGTTCCTGGAGCCTGGGGTATCCTGCAGTGTGCGCAGGTGAGAGCCACATAGTGACCTGTGGTTATGGGGAAGGATGTCCTAAAGGAACGCTGCAGTCTTGTGGACTCCACCCTCTACTCCAGCTTTCTGGACTCCACCCCTGCTCCAGTGATTGGAAACTACAACTCCCAGCAGTACCAGGGAGAGAACTGCGAGGACCCAGGGGCGGAACTTAGCAGCATTCTGGGACTTTGGGGGTTAAATGGGCGCCACTGGGTCTCTCCTTTCTCTCTCGGGAAATGTCTCTCTGGACTGCGTGACTGGGTGCTATCAGTTTGTTACCAGAGCTCCAAGTCAGCCAAGCCGGTAAGATATTCCAGTTGTTTCCTTTTCTTTTCCCCTTTTGTAGATAAACCCATTTTGACCCTTTTGTGTGCGCCTGCAGTATAACTGAATTTTAAGCGCCCAGGTGAGGCCCCACACGCAGGTGGCCCAGTTCACACTGGGTGCCCTGTAACACTGTTGCGGGCACTGCCTGCTGCCAGGCTGTCGCCCACAGGCCCCTGTTGTGTGGGTGCCGTATCGCTGTCGCCCTGGGCTTTGCGTTTCGGCCTCCTGGGGCTTTTCGGAGGCTCTCTGGTCTGAGACCCGGAGGATGGGCGGCCGCTCCGCCTCCCGTCGGCCTCCTGCCTTTCGGGCCTTGTACCTGGTCCATCCCTGTTTCAAAAAAATAGTTTTGCAATTAGGTGTAAACTCAAGACTAGATTAATTTGTGATGAGTGAAGTGTAACAAAAGTAATTTTACTTATTTCTATTGCTCAATGAGAAATGTTCAAGTGTATATAATTTGATGTGGAAAGTTAATTTAAAAGCAACATACAAGCACAGCAGCCTCCACCCAGTTTTTATATAGATTTTTTTTTAAGATTTATTTTTATTTATGCACACAAGAACTGGGGTACAGGCCAGAAGTGCAGGGGATGAGAGGATTCACCAGAGACAGAGTGGGGAGCAGAACAGGCAGATCGACTGAAACATACTGCAGAGGGAAACAGTGGGGCAGGCAGGAGAGGTACCCTGTGGTTACCCTGCACCCTGTGGCTGGGTAGAGTTAAGTCTCAGCTATCATCCCGATGGCCTGACTTCCATCCCTGGCCACACACGGCAGCAACCGACCTGTCTCACCCGCAGCTCCCCTCAGCAGTGTATTTCAGCAGATCTGCCTGTTCCGCTCCCCACTCTCTCTGATAAATCCTCTCACTGCATCTCTGTACCCCAGTTGTGTGTGCATAAATAAATCTTAAAAAAACAAAAGGAACTTTCAGGCACAGTCATGTCAAATGAGGTCTCAATTTCTTAATATAGAGAAAACATTTTAGAAAAAGGCTCCATATATTATTTTTTTTTACATTTTCTTTTCAATATTTGCTTAATATTCAGTAAACCAATAAAATTAAATTTTATTCCTAGTGAGTGACTTCCTTTTTTTACTAAATAAAATTTAAATCACTGTACCTTCTGTTTTTGCTTTTAACAATCCTATAATAAATTGTATTATCAAACCAAATATTTCTGATACTAACTACAGAAAATTAGATTGAGAAAACAGAATACAGTACATAACAGAATTATTTTTAAGAAACTATAAAGTTCTCTCCAGAGGCATTCCTTTACCCAGGACAACTCCGCCCCATGTTGAGAGACTGGAGTGAGCATGCAGCTGAAGTGTATCTCCAGTCCCTTTGCAGTGAGGTGAGGCCATATAACTGGTGATCCCCAGTGGACTGTAGTGGCGGTGATGTGTTACTTCCAGGTGAAGGGAGTTAGAAGTTTGCGTCTCTCCCCATGTTTGCGATCCCCATCGAAGGCAGGACGATCCTGGGAGACTAGAAGCCGAGCATCCAAGGCGGCAGACTCACAACAGATCTGGATTCTTGAGCTACCTGACCACAAATATCCATAGTGAACATAGATGATACATGAGACGTTTCCTGTTTGGACACTGAGATCTGGGGGTTGTCTGTGGCAGCTGTTCCCTCCCCTAGAGCATGAATCAAGGTAATGAGGCCAAGATGGCACGGGGCTCCTGGCACTGCAGACTGGAACTATGATGGGTGGAGAGGGCAAAGGGGGAACATTTGGGAGTCAGAAAATTTTTAATTAAGTTTAATTTTTTTAAGATTTATTTATTCACACAGAACTGGGGTACAGACCAGAGGCACAAGGGCATGAGAGGATTCACCAGAGTCAGAGTGGGGAGCAGAACAAGCAGATTGATGAAATACACTGCTGAGGGGAGCAGTGGGTGAAACAAGAGAGGTCTGCTGCACCATGTGGGTCACCTCACGGGGTGTGGATCGAACTTTCACTGAAGTGGCTGGGCCAGCTTACAGTGCTGCGCTTTAACCCGCTGCGCTGCCAGGGAGGGCCAGAATAAATAAATAACTTTTAAATAAAAATGAATCTACTAGTGCTGACATCTTCTGCCTAGAATATATTGCAGACATTACAATTAACTTTAGTACTTTTTCCTCAGAATCCTCCTCAGCACAATATTTCAAATAGTCATTACCATAATCTGAGTTTGAAAAAAAAATTGAAATTAATGTGTTGCTCTTATATAACCTCCTAGGCTCCAGTAAACATATAGATTCCCATTTCTGAGTCTCTACTTCCTTCTGGAATAAATCTCCTAGACCTTGTCCTGCCAAACTACCCAGATTCAACCCATCCTTACATATCTCTTATAATCCATTCTGCCAACAATTTTCATTGAATACCTAGTCTAGTACCTGATACACATATCTGTTGAATCAGTCTGCTTCACATCACCTTGGCCTTTGCCTATAAAAGCTTGGTGAACATTTGTTTCCTTATTAATAGCCTTGTCCCTTAGAACAACAGCAGTTAATAGCACACACCAGAAGTTTTTGGGATGGTAGTATGGTACACTTCACTACTCATCTTTTGAATCCTGATTCTACCATTTACTAATTGGATGACCCCCAAGTCAGTCACCTAATTGTCTGTGCCTTAATCTTCAGCACATGTGCCTCTGGGATAATTAAAGGCCTGCCACAAGGGCTGTTGTATTAAATGGGAAAATCCTTGACATGGCGTAAACACTTTCCAGCAAGTGGAAGTTGGTGTAAGCTCTAGTTCCACCAGTGAGTGAGTTCTCTTACAGGCCTTTATTCTAGGTAGGAGGAAAAAACTCCAAGAACACTTGAAATCTGAGTCCTTGAGCAGCTTCACTTTTAATCCATCCCCAGGTCTTGAACTTCTCCTCATCCAGCAGTATGCGCCCCACCTCATAAATCCTGACTCATGACACAGACATGTCACCTCTCTGTTTGTGAAGCCCAGCAACTTATTAAATGTGTGGAGATCTTCAGATGACCGGCTCCAAGAGGTGGCACCAGATAACCTATTCAGTCATAAAAGCAAAATACTACCAGGAAACTTGGCTTAGACAGAGACTCCACAACCTAAGTGCAGCAGAGCATTAAAGTGGGCACCCAGGAAGAGCAAGTCCACCCTCAGGTTATAATCCCATAATGACAGAGATGCGGCCGTGAGGTGTTTTAAATGCCCAGGACTACCTGGAAGGGAGAAGAGCCAGGGGGCTCCTCTGTCACCACTGGAGTATGCTAGACTATAAATCGGTCACCTTTCCTAAGTAAATACAGGAACAACAACATGCATTGTTACCCTAATGAGTTTAAGTCAGTTAAAAGGCTTGGGCCAGCGGGCGCCCCTAAGTGGCTTGTTTGTGACCTGTGACCAGCACCCGACTACTACTACCACCCTTTCAACTTCATTCTTGTCACTTCACCTCACCACCACCTCGGGCGAGGGCTCCTGGAAGGGAGCCCAGTCCAGGTGTCTGAGTATTGGCAGCCCCCCGGTACTTAAATCCTCCATTAGGAAACAACACGTTTGTACAAGAGCCGTCTCTGAGGTTGCAGAAAAAACCAGCTGCTACCTCAGCGCCTAGTTCCCCAGCCCCTAAATGGCGGGTAACTGACGCAGCGGCCGGGGCACTGCGCTGGGACTAGCGCGGCCCTCCTAGCTCTGCCCCTGAAAACCGGACCCTCAACCGTTTTGGGGTTTAGTTTCTTCGTCTGTAACGCGTGAATGACAACACCACCGAACACATGGGTCTTGAAAAGTAAACAGGAGAACGCACCCGAACACGTCACCCCAGCAAAGTACTACGCTGAAGGCGTTAGAGTCGTAACTCCTCCCCACCCCCCAACCACGCACGTTACAAACCCCAGTCACCATTAATATAGCCGGCCCCCTCCTAAGGAATCATGGGCTGTGAAGTCTTTTGGCAGCCACACCCTCGTTCACGATCATCAGAGGCAGAACTACAACTCCCAGGATGCAGTAGAGAGGCCGCCACCAAGGCCAGCCTCCTCTCCGCCCTCCTTGCGCAAAGCTTCCTGGGACATGTAGTTCAGGTCCGAGCCGAGCCGCCGTCAAAGGGCGCCGAGGAACTACAGGCCCAGAAGCCCTCGCGTCCACTCTTCTCCCTCCCCTCGCAGAGTCGGAGTGCTGTTTTTGTTGTTGGTGAAAGGTGAGGGAACAGCTGATCCGTCTGTGGGGTAAGAAACTTGGCCTAATTTGGGGGCGATTTTATGTGGCGGGCCACCCCCCTTTCCAGACCGTTGAAAGGGTAGTCTAAGGAAACTGTAGGAGAGGTATGAGGGCCGCTTGGGTTTAACGCTGGCTTTACTGAAGAAGCGCCCCACTGTTTGGGGAGTTCTTCTCTCCGGGGGCCCAGACCAGGGGGTGCCCGCTCGCTGCCCTCATCGGCCTGTCGACCCTTCTCTGTGAAGCTGGAGACCCCTAGTGAGTTGGGGGAGAATGGATCGTTGCTTGTTGCCTCTCAGGCAACACTTGAACCCCACAAACCTTCCGTCCCCCTTACTGCTCCCGTCCTGGCCAGTACAAAGGCCTTTCCTGCGCTGAACCCCTGGGGACAGAGACCTTCCAAGTTGGAGAGTGCCTGCCTGGGACTCCAGCGTCCTGTGGATGGGGAGTGGGGCCCGCGCCCCCTGGGGCTGCACACATACACTTTGGGTGCCCGGAGCTTTGCTTTGGGCCCGGGAAATGTTTCCAGCTGTTGGGACTTTTACTGGTGGGCAGTATTCGGCGTTCCCCAACCTCAGATGTCTAGGGACAATCCATCTCCTCCCTACAAAGCCGGAATTGTCTTCGGAGAAAACATGGATTGTGGTTTATTAAAGAGGGATTTTTGAGAGATAAAAACCCAGAGAAATTGCTTCACCCCGTTTCAGTCTGTTTGGGGAGGCATTGTCTCCTTTCTGGAGTTGGTGCCTCTTCTCTCCTGAGTTTCTGTTTTAAAGTCGTCCCCACCCCCCAACTTCAGCCTGATCTGGGTTTGGGAGTCTGGGAGAGTGAACATGACTAGCAGTCACGGCTGATGGACGCTGTCCGCTGCCCCTGACACCGGCTGGAGATTAGGGGGCTCACAGCCCTGGGGTGGGTTGTTGGCTACATTGCTTTCTCACACCACCCCCACATTTCCTATCAACTCCCCATCTCCCCTGGAACACCTCTTCCTCTAAATTCCATCTTACCACGTGTCTCCAGTTACTAGTCCAGGCTGGTGGGAGAACAAGCACTTGACTTGAGCATAACCTGAGAGAGAGAGAATGGGGAGCGGATGCTAGAGCTGGGTTCACGTAGTTGGAGCAGTTGGTTGCTGAGTCTGCTGCAAACAAGACAAGACCCCAAACAAGACCCCAAGAGAAGAGTGTTGTTTCTTTTTTTGAACTCTCCTCTCAACATTATATATTATATAATGTAATACTATAATGTATGCACATTTCCCCTCTAGGGCCCCTCCCTTCCCACTGTCCAGTCTCTACCCTGCCCAGGGGTGGGGCTTTCCTGGCTCCAGGCCCCCGCATTCCATCTCCCCACACCACCACGTTCCTGCTGAGTGTTCACTCCACCCTTGGAGCAGCCGCCTCCAGAATTCTTGACTCTCTGGAGTAATGAAGTTGAGGACAGAACCTGTCTTTCCTTATGGCCTCCCTTTCCCTTTTTCTCAGTTGAGAATGGAAGCTTTTTGATTATTCATGGGAGAGACAGCTCAGAGAGGGGCGAGGACAACTTGTGAGGACACCCCCATATTGGGTTGTGGGTCCCCCCGGCCGTTTTCCTGCTCTGAAGACTCAGGTGTCATAAGTCATCCCAGGGTCAGCAAGCTCAGGAGTGGGCAGGTAGAACTGCTCAGATTGAGGGGGAGGGGCGCCACATTCAGCTGGGTTTTGAATTCAAAGCCAGAGGAGGTAGTGGATGGGATGGGGAGATGCTCAGAAACATTGAGATGGAAAGGAAGGAGTGAAGCGATCAGAGGCTCGGGGGCTGAGACTTGGTTAATGGGGCAGTGAGGCGGCAGTAGGAATTAGAGCTCTGATCTGTAGGAAGAGTGTATGACTCAGAAAAAGTACAGTGTGGGACAGGGTGGGGCTGCCTCAGAGGCCGACTAATGTCCTGGGGACTGAGAGTGACACCTCTAAAGGTTCCTGGGACCTTGAGGGCCTGAAAACCAGGCGGGCCTTCATCCCCAGGTGCAGTGGCTGCAGGGACTGGGGCTGGGGAGGACATGGGGGGACACGAGGTGGAGATGGAGTGGACAGACGTGAGCCTGCCAACCCTTTGTTTCACAGGAAGGCAGGTCTCTGGAGAGCAGGATGGAAGAATCATCGCTGAGCCGGGCACCATCCCGAGGTGGAGTCACCTTTCTGAATGTAGCACGGACTTACATCCCCAACACCAAGGTGGAATGTCACTACACCCTCCCCCCAGGCACCGTGCCCAGTGCTAGCGACTGGATTGGCATCTTCAAGGTATCCCCGCAACCTCGTTTTGTTCAGGCACATGGGCTCTGGGATAGCTGGAACAAGAGGAATGACTAGGTTCTTGAATGCTCTGCCTAGTTGGTTTTTTTTCTTTTTTCTAAAGATTTATTTACTTATGCATACAGAAGGGGCACAGGCCAGAGGTGCAGGGAGGTGTGAGGATTCACCAGAGACAGAGTGGGGGTGCAGAACTGGCAGATCCACTGAAATATACTGCTGAGAGTAGCAGCGCTGGTCAGGAGGGATCTGCTGCACTCCCTGGCTGGGATCGAACTCGTCCTGCAGTGGCTGCGGACAGCTTCATAATGCTGCGCTTTAATCCCTTACGCCCCAGGAGGGCCCAAATTCTCAGCCTCTTGACTGGGACAAAGGCCACCTCGCTAAGCAAAGCTCATCTTCTTCCTGTCTCAGCCTTGCTCTCTCCTGACACATTAGTACCCCACATTTTCCTGTTTTCTCTTGCCACCACTTCTCCACCCACTCCCCTCCCCACTTGAACCACCACAGCGGATGGCTCCATCGCCATCCCCATCTCCCACCTTGGGCTTTCACAGGTGGAGGCTGCCTGTGTTCGGGATTACCACACCTTTGTGTGGTCTTCAGTGCCTGAGAATACAGCTGATGGCTCCCCTGTCCACGCCAGTGTCCAGTTCCAAGGTATGGAGGCTGGAAAACCAGGAGGGGTAGGTCTTCGGGAGATACTAGGCCCAGAGAAATGAAAGTCGGGCTCAGAGGACAAGGGAACGTGAGTGCAGCCAAGCAAAATACGTAACATCCGGTGATGGGATTATCCCAGAGTCAGCTTTAGGGATGGAAGGACTTGTTACCGACAGTTAGGCCTACCTCCTGCTGAAAGGAGGGCTCCTCTTACGGACGTGAGGAATAGGAAAGGAAAAGGGCATCCTATGTCAAGAAGTTGGCTGTTAGATTGGGAAAGACCTGGGTTTGATTCTCAACATAAATTCAAGCTGTTCGACCTTGAGTTAATTACTGACCCTGTCTCTGTTATCTTAACAGTAAAAGGGGGTGCCTGACTTATAGGTTAGAATATGGGGGTTCCAAATGATAGAGGCAACGCTGTTAGCACTTTATCTGGCCCATGGTGGATATTGACTGAATGGCCGCCGGCGTGGTGGTGATGACTGAGGAGGAGGGTCGGTTCAGGAAAGAGAAGGCGAATGCTAGGCAGGAAGGAGGGAGAGGAGCACTCCAGGGAGCAGAACTAGCCTTTGGGAGGTGGGGAAGAGACCACACAGAACGTGGAACCATATGTGGGAGCGAGGGCCTGGAGCCGAAGGTAGCGGAGAAAAGACAGTCCAAGGGGAAGGACTTCTTGGGAGCCCGGGGACCATGTTGGGATCCTGGGTCTGCTTCCCCCTCCCGCAGCCAGCTACCTGCCCAAGCCGGGAGCCCAGCTCTACCAGTTCAGGTATGTGAGCCGCCAGGGCCGTGTCTGCGGACAGAGCCCCCCTTTCCAGTTCCGAGAGCCGAGACCCATGGACGAGCTGGTGACACTGGAAGAGACTGACGGTGGCTCTGACATCCTGCTCGTTGTCCCCAAGGCCACCGTGCTGCAGGTGAGAGCTGGGACGGGCCGCCCTGGGGGGAGAAGGAGGCCTGCTTCACAGCGGCCTCACCCACTTCGCGCCCTCCTCGCTATAGTCTCAACTGAAGACCTTGCTAGGAGCTTCAGAATCTGGCCTGGGAAATCTCAGTCTGCCGTGGACAGACAAGGCGATGGAGGCAGGAAAGCAGGGCACCCACAGGCCGGCATAACTCATGAGACCCCATGGAACCTGCCTTCTCCAAGGGCTAGTGCCCTAGGCCCTAAGGAAAGGTCCAGAGGGCAAAGGGAGGCCACTGCAGGGAAGGACCCTGCAAAGGAAGGGGAGGGGAGACCACGTCCAGGACAAGGGAGGAGCGCGAGGGTCCGTGGGCCGCCGCCTTGCCTCCGTGCCTGGCGGTGCTGGCCACGTGCGGCCTTGAAGTCGGAGTGTATTTTGTGAATAAAAGACACCCTGGACTTTGAAGACTTAATACTAACAAAAAGTATGTAAAAAGAACTCTGTGATTTTACACTGGTTACACGTTGAAGGGATCGTTTTTTGGATAGGCTGAATTCGATAAACTACTGTTAGAATTAATTTCACTGTTTTTTATTACTTTTTTAACTACTAGAATTTTGTATTATCTACGTGCCCTGTACTGTTTTTCTGTTATGACACATAGACCACACAGAGAAGAATTAGGGAGTGGTGGCAGATGTTAGCAAGGAGCCTTCCTGAAGGAAGGTGAGGTCCAGGCCCAGGTCGGGAGGAAGGGCTTCCCAGACTGGCGGGCGGGCCTGAGGAAGGCTCAGAAGGTGGAGACAGCGCCTGCCCTCAGCCCTCTCAGCCCTCTCAGCCCTCTCAGCCCTCTCAGCCCTCTCAGCCCTCTCAGCCCTCTCAGCACATGGCCTCCGCACTGGGATAGGAGAAAGGCGTTTCTCTGACACCAGTCAGGGAGAGGTAGGCTCCTGTGTTCCTTTGAACGTTCGTTATCGCTGCAGTTATCTTACAGTAAACCAGCCTAAGAGGTCTCCTTACAGAGCGGACAGAGATTCAGTCTTGTTCACAGCAACTTGTTCAGTCACACAGCTGGTAAAAGTCATTCTGGAGATTGAAGGCCACATCTGTCTGACTCAGGGACAGATAGCGTGAACCTGGGGGAGACATCCTGTCATCCTGTTCATCCATGTGGATTGACAGAGACTTCTTCCAGATCAGGGATTCTTGCAGTTGCAGGGTGAGAAGGCGCCTGGCCTAGGGTGGGGAAAGGTGAGCAAGCGGGGCCCTGAGGGGCGCAGGGCAGCTTTGAGTAGCGCACCACGCTTCCCGCTAACCCTCCTCTTTAGAACCAGTGCTGACGCAGCTTCCCAACCCCACAAGGCATCTGCAGAGTGATGGGGACGGGACCATGGTGTAGACCCTCCTCAGGCACTCCCTTCTCATCCTGCCCATAGAACCAGCTGGATGAGAGCCAGCAAGAGAGGAATGACCTGATGCAGCTGAAGCTTCAGCTGGAGGAGCAGGTGACGGAGCTGAGGAGCCAAGTACGGGAGCTCGAGAAGGTTCTGGCAAGCACCCGGCAGGAGCACGCGGAGCTGGTGGAGCAGTACAAGGTGGGGCTCTGGCCAGGGAGGGACTTGAGCCAGCTGCTCTGCCAGAGTCCAAAATGACTGAACCCAGTGGAGAGGGTTTCAAAAGTGAGGCGTTCGTGGGCTTTTAAGATGGTCTGGCATCAAAGAACTAGGTTTAAGGGGGTCACAAGTAACATTAAATTTGACAGGACAGGAGACACATCCCAAATGTGTTTTAAGACTCAGTTCTTTGAGACCAAACGGCTAGAGTCTGGTGAGGTGGCTGCATTCCCTGGCAAGGGAATGTTCCCTGAAGCCTCTTTTTCAAGGAGAGTGACAGGGTGGGGGCAGCCCTGGTCTGCTCCTCCTAAGCCTTTACTCCACCGTTGGGAGGGGGGTGCCAGCATGTCTCCTCTTCTGGGGAACCTTCCTTCCAGGGGCTTTCCCGGTCCCATGGGGAGCTCACCGAAGAGAGGGACGTCCTCAGCCAGCAGCAGGGAGACCACGCAGCGCGCATCCTGGAGCTGGAGGACGACATCCAGACCATCAGTGAGAAAGTGCTGGCGAAGGAGGTGGAGCTGGACAGGTGCAGAGGCCTGCTCCCCCACTGCTCCCTCCTCTGTGCGGGCCCCCACTCCCCCTCCTGCTTCAAGACGCAGGCCTGCTTTCTCGCTCATGTGATTTCTCTCTCCCTTCTCAACTTCTTTGAGGCCATTCCAGCTACTGGGATAGCTTTCTTTGCCTCTCTGCCATCTTCCCTAACCCTACCCTGTATTCCTCCCCCTCAGAAACAGCCACAGTTACCATTTACTGTGACCCAAGGCCAAGCAGGAGCTACTGAGGGAGGATTTGGAAGAAGGGACTAGGTAGAATAGTCTGGGCAAGGTGAGAGAGGGTGATTTCGGGTTTACTGCCGTGAAAAGGAAGCCTAGACCCTGCTCACCGGGGACAGCTCAGGACACACGCCTCAGCCTTTATTCCCTCTCTGATGACCAGGGCAGTGTCTGACATTCCATCCTCTACTCCCAGGGTGAGAGACACGGTGAAGGTGCTGACGCGGGAACAGGAAAAGCTCCTGGGGCAGCTAAAGGAGGTGCAAGCGGACAAGGAGCAGAACGAGGTGGGGGCTCGGAGACGCTGCTCTCCCGGCGTCCTTGGGTGTTGCTGCGCCCACGCCAGCGCTGGCACCGCAGGGCCCGCAGGTGCAAGAGGGCGCGTGCGCGTCCTGGGGAGCAAGGCGAACGCCCAGTCGGGAGTAGTCAGAGAAGACTGGTGTCACCAGGGTAGAGTCGACATTCTGTTGCTTCACTGAGGTAGGCGGAAGCACTTCTTGGCAGGGACGACGGGAAGGCTTAAAGGGGCCACGTATTTTCAGACTCAAGCAGTAGAACCCTTTCCTCCTTGCCCCCGCTGAAGTTTTTTTTTTTTTTAATGTTTATTTATGTATACAGAACTGGGGTACAGGCCAGAGGTGCAGGGAGTGCGAGGATATATCAGAGACAGCGTGGGGAGCAGACAGGCAGATGGACACTGCTGAGGGAGCAGCGGGGTCAGGAGGGGGCTGCCGACTGAACTCGCGCTGCCGTGGCTGCGATAGCTTCATGGTGCTGCTCTTTAGCCCGCTGCACCACCAGGAGGCCCCGCTCTGAGCTTCTGCATCTTAATGGAACCTCACTGAATCGCTAAAAGTAATATTTCATCATGTAATTTTTAGATAAGTTTATTTTTAGAAATCCAAATGGGTGACATTACTTATAATATGATGAAGTCGATTAGGTCACATTGATGAGCATCACACCTAGAGGTTGGGAGTTATGGAGGACTCAGCTAATGTATTTCTGCTTGTTTGTCTGAGTCACACAAGTGGGTGCACGTGAAGATTTTGACACTGTCCACCTTGTAATCCACAGTTAGCTCTTCAATTCAGTAGAAAATACAACAGAAACTTTTTTCTGAGGTTTGTACAAAAATGAATTACTGGGACACAAGTCGATGAATTGGTGATCGCCAATGTTCAATACAATCTTTAGTAATGTAGAAGAAGTTCAGATCTAGTATTTGCTTCTTCGAAATGACCTGGGGAAGACTGCTCAAAAGCCACCTGCTCAGCAGTAAAAAGTAGGTAGAACTTGACAGAGACGAAGAGAGCCTGTTCCAGGAATAGCACAAGGCATGACAGAGGCGTGAAGTGCAGACTCCGGGCAGTTGAACATGACGGGAGCAGTTTCAAGGCCGCATCAGATTTACGCACACCTTGACCTTCGTCTTTAGTCTGTAGCAGTGAGGGGTGCCAATGGTTTTCAAGTGAGCGACCTGGACTTACAGAGCTGCACTTCAGGAAAACTAGCGTGACCTGCTGTGGAAAATGAGCTGCTTATAAGATCATCCATTCGTCCAGGCAAGAAACGACCAGCGTGAGCTAACGTGGTTGTGACAATAATAGAAGAGAGAAAAGACAAAATGATTGTGAACAAGGTGGAGGATGAAGAAGTTGGGGAAGCAGTAGATTTTTCTGTGGACCTTGGGCCTGGTACCAAGTATCAGCCTGAGGCATATGGACAGTGGCGGGGGTCATGGGTAAAGAAGTAGAAGAGGCCAGAGCGGAATGGGGTGCAGGATGGCTGATTGGAAATCCAGAGTGAGCTTGGCTGTGAGAGGAACGTAGGGAAGCAGGCGTGGGCCGTGCCCATGCTGGAGACCGCTGTCTGGAGCTGGACACTTAGATGTTCAGTGGGGAGAGAACCGAGGAAGGGCTGGTGGCTTGAGTGGGTGTGAAACCTGAGAATTGTACTTGACCTCTCCCCTCTTGATGGTTCACCTCGGCCACCCCAGATGCATGCTCCCTTTCCCTATATGTCTTCACCTCCCTCAGGTTGAGCTCCAAACGGTGCAACAGGAGAACCTGCGCTTGAATCTGGAACTGCAGGAGGCCAAGGGCCGGCAGGAGGAGCAAAGCGCTCAGGCACAGCGGCTGAAGGACAAAGTGACCCAGATGAAGGACACCCTAAGTCAGACCCAGCAGCGGCTGGTGAGTGAGAGCCCCTAGGCAGCGGGAAGGGGACAGTTCCAAGGAGTAGTAGTGGCGGGTCTGGGGGGCCAGCGAGAAGGGGACACATGGCTAAAGGATAAGCAACTGGAGCCCGAGTCCAGCCGTGTGGGGAGAGCAGGGAGCGTAGTTCCCTGCTGGCTCACGAATGTTTCACCGGGACCCTGATCTCCTCTTTGCACCTGAGGCGGAGCTGGAACCCCTGAAGGAGCAGCTGCGCGGGGCCCAGGAGCTGGCAGCCTCGAGCCAGCAGAAAGCCGCCCTCCTCGGGGAGGAGCTGGCCAGCGCTGCGGGCGCACGGGACCGCACCATGGCCGAGCTGCACCGCAGCCGCCTGGAAGTGGCAGGAGTCAGCGGCCGGCTGGCCGAACTCAGTCTGCACTTGAAGGAGGAAAAAAGCCAGTGGAGCAAGGAGCGGGCTGGGCTGCTGCAGAGTGTGGAGGTAAAGGGGTGGACGCCCCGACAGCCCTGGCCACTCCCCTCTCTGTGTGGGCCCTTCCCCTGAAAGGAGAGGGAGAGGAGAGGGAGATCTGCGGGGCGGGGAGGGGCCTGTCCCTGTCAGATGTGACCCTCCCTAGGCCGCGTCCCTGTCCTGATGGCCATCGCCTCATCCTTGGTTACCATCCTGGGCGCCAGGCCCTGCCACCTGCCACGAGGCCCATTCCCCGTCAGCCAGTCAGCTGGGCGCCTTGTCTTTTCCCTTCCATGGGGTGGGGAGAGGGAATGAGGAAGGCAAGAGGGGAAGTTGCCCCAAAATTGAGTTCCACACGGGAGGGACACACATGGCCCCCCCGCCAGGGTCACCCTCCCCCTTGGCTTCGCTCCCCACTTTCCTTCTCATCGTCTCCTAGGCAGAGAAGGACAAGATCCTGAAGCTGAGTGCAGAGATCCTGCGGCTGGAAAAGGGGGTTCAGGAGGAGAGGACCCAGAGCCAAGTGCTCAAGGCCGAGCTGGCTCGGGAAAAGGACTCCAGTTTGGTGAGGCCCAGCGCCCCCGTGTCCTGCCCCAGGGGAGACGGTGCGTCTGAGCGGGCCAGCGTGCTGGCGGCTGCTCCCCGCAGGCAGCACGCCTCTTGCGCGCCTGCAGCCCCGGTTGGTGTGAAGCTGCAGTGTCCCTTCTGCTCAGCGCGTACTCTGCCGGTGTGGGCCGAGGGACGTGTAGAGAGCCCTGATCTAGCCAGCCAGTGTCCATCACCCCGGTCTGCCCTCGAGGCAGACACTAGGACTCAGGTGACCGCTTCCCGTGGCCAAGACGAGACTCAGGGAAGAAGAGTGTCGGGGCGTCTGTGTGCGTCAGAGCAAGAATGGGGCGCGTGGCTCAGATTGCTGGGCCCAGGCCCTGGAGTCCAGGTTCTTAGCGGCACATTCCAGGCTCCACGTGGCATCCAGCCCTTTCCCTCAGGTGCAGCTGTCCGAGAGTAAGCGGGAGCTGACAGAGCTCCGCTCCGCCCTGCGCGTGCTCCAGAAGGAGAAGGAGCGGCTGCAGGAGGAGAAGCAGGTGAGAACCCTCCGCGCAGGCTCCCGAGGCCAGCGTGAGGACTTGACAGCTAGAAACTTTGAAACTTCCTGTCGTCTCTTGCCCTGGAAACTGGCATCTCTAAGAGGCCCCAGAGGCTAAAAGCGGGACCGTTAGCTCACTGGGTAGGAGAAGGGAGGGCTGCGGGGTGAAGGCGCCTCTCCTGGGAGAAACGGTCTGCCGTAGACCCTGCTGGACGGGCATCCAATCCTGAGGCCTCAGGGTGTGTCTCGGGTGCAGGCCTGGCACTTCCCCAACCTCTGGCCCCCCTTTCCTGCCACCCCCAGGAACTGCTAGAGTACATGAGGAAGCTGGAGGCCCGCCTGGAGAAGGTGGCGGACGAGAAGTGGAATGAGGACACTGCCACGGAGGACGAGGAGGCCACTGCCGGCCTGAGTCTGTATACCCCCTCCTCGGGATGCCTCGCTCCCCCCGCCCCGCTGGGGAAAGCCCCCCCTGACTCCTCTGGGAGCTGCCTTCCAGCTGTCTTGCCTTGTCCCAGGCCCTGGCCCCTGTTGGGTGTTTGCGCCCCTCATCTGGAGGGACCGAGTTGCAGCCCCCCTCAGCGACACAGCCTTCCTCCTCCCTCCCCGCCCTCGCCTACAGGCTGCCCGGCTGCTCTGACAGACTCGGAGGACGAGTGTCCCGAAGACATGAGGCTCCCGCCCTATGGCCTGTGTGAGCGCGGGGAGCCGGGCTCCTCTCCCGCTGGGCCACGAGAGGCTTCTCCCCTCGTTGTCATCAGCCAGCCGGCTCCCATTGCTCCCCACCTCTCAGGGCCAGCTGAGGACAGCAGCTCTGACTCGGTGAGCGGTGAAGGGGTGGTGCAGGCACGGGGAAGAGGTGACAGGCAGAAGGGCTAAACCCGGCCGGCCCAGCCTCCAGAGCAGGCGATCTGGGCCAGCGGTGCCCTGTCATCTGGGAGGAGAGCGGGGCTCAGCCTCTTTTCAAGGCCCTCTCTTCAGAGCCTCCTGTCAGTGGCGTACCCCGAAACCCAGCCTGCCACAGCAGCCTCGTTGCTTCTGGCCCTGCCCCCAGCCGTTCCCTGCCATCCCCATCGGCACTGGGCTCCTGCTTCACGCCCACTACAGCCCTCTGCCCGCCGGCCGGCTAGCTTACTCTTCCCCCACCTGCCAGTGTGCTGCTCCCCCACTTGGGGTAGCAGCCCAGGCCCCAGCCCTGTCTCTCTGGTGCCCAGGAGGCTGAAGATGAGAAGTCAGTGCTGATGGCGGCTGTGCAGAGTGGGGGCGAGGAGGCCAACCTGCTGCTTCCGGAGCTGGGCAGCGCCTTCTACGACATGGCCAGGTGAGCGCCAGGGGGTGCACTGGAGGCTGGCGGGAGGACCCCAGAGGGCCCCCCAGCCCCCCCTTGGTCCCAGCCAAGAAGAGGTGTAGGTGTGGCGACCCTGCAGAGCCCGGCTGCCCAGGTGGCCCTTCCCCGTCTGGTCACTGCGCCTGCGCGCTCAGAGGCCCTGCCTGTAACTGGCTTCTGTGTTGTTCTAGCACCATCCTCCGTGGAGCCCAAATTGCCCTGCATCCCCTCTCACCTGCCCCTTCCCCTTCCCCAGCCACCAGGTAGGTACCTAAGCTCCCTCAAGGGAGGAAGGGAGTGACCAAGGTCCCCGGGGACAGCACCACAGACCTGGGACCTGCATCCATCTGCCAGCCTCACTTGTGAGGGGCCTTCTGGGCAGAGAGGCTTCGAGGGTGCAGGCTTTAAGGATCAGACAGCCCCTCTCCCTTCACCCTCCCAGGCCAGGAGGGAAGGCAGGTGAAGAGCGATTCCATCACTAGCCCCCATCTTGCCTGGACGTGAGAGGCTCAGGGCAGGGACAGGCGGAGCAGTCATCCCTCTTGGCTGGAGCAGGAAGATGAAGGGCGATGTCAGACTCATTTTCAGCCTCATTAGGCAGCAGACGGAGATGGAGGGAGGCGAGCAGGCGGTTGGGGGTTGGGCGCTGCCCTGCAGCCCAGCAGCTACAGCAGAGGCCCATGCCACTGGGCTTCCAGGGTGGAGGGAGAGGCTCTGAGGCCTGAGACGCTGGGCTGCTGCAGGGCACTGCGTCCCTGGGGGCCCCGCCGGAGCCCCGCAGGGCCCTCTCCCTGGGAGGCAGACGGGCCTCCCACACGCTGACACGCTGACGCGCCACCCCGCCCGTCTCTCGCCAGTGGCTTTGCAGCGGGTGCCCTGTCCGAGGCCAGCACTGGCGGGCCCGCCACGCCCCCCTGGAAGGAGTGCCCTATTTGCAAGGAGCGCTTCCCCGTGGAGAGCGATAAGGACACCCTGGAGGAACACATGGACGCACACTTCTTTTTCAGCACCCAGGACCCCTTTGCCTTTGAATGAGTGCACCCCCTCGTACACGCACACACGCGCACACACTCACACTCACGCGCAGCACAGCGCGGGGCTCGGGCCCACCTGCGTCACCCAGGCCCAGGACAGCGCTCCCGAGGACCATCCCCAGGTCCCCGTTCTCCCACGCTGTCGACCCCATGCTGCCTACCAGGCCCTTCTGAGCAGGCGGGGACCCCTTTTGGAAGTAGTGGCTGAATGTACCCCCTAAACGCGGTTTTGGAGGAACGAGGATGGAGGAGGCCTTCCCAAAGGGGATAGGAAAACCCTCTCCCAGCCCCGGTCGCTCCTTCACTCGGACCAGCCACCACACACCGCCCCGCACACACACACACTCGAGCACTCACCTCACACTCCCCTCAAGGCCCCAACGCCAGTCGGGGCGCCCACCCCCTCTTACTGTGTTTGTTTACTTGACTTCTCTGGAGCCTGCTTGAGGAAGCCGTGGGCTTCCGGCGCTGCAGGCCTCTTTCAGTTGAGCTTCATTGGTTCTTTCTGCGCCCCCTTGCCTTCCACACCCCAGCGCTCTTTCCCATACCATGAGATATTAAGTTTGGAGGGATCTTTTGTATTTTTGAGGTTTTCTGCACTCTTGCCTCCTGCCCTCCCTGCCCTGCCCCCAGTGTCCTCACGGGAACAGAAACGACGCACTTGTGCCTTCTGTGAGGGATGGGGGCACACTGGGCCCAGGTACCCTACTTTCCCAGCCCCTCCTCCCTCTCCAGGCCCCCACAGCAATAAGAGCTTCCTTCAATATTCTCTCTTCTGCCTGTAGTTTAGACAAATATATTTATATGATATGTATAACTATTCTAATAAAATGTGTTCTTATCAGGAGGTCTGCCGAGGCCAAGGCCACCCAGATACCGGGCTCTCAGACGCTGATGGGGGCAGGGGCCAGGGCGGCCTGTGTTTCCCCAGCGCATGCCCGCTGGGCCTGCACCACAGGCTGACAGGGCAGGGAGGCGCCTGGCCCCAGGGGGAGGTCGGCTTGGGCGGGTTTGGTGAGGCGGAGCCGACTGGAGGGCCTCCACTGGGGTTTAGCTTTCATGCGGACTCGGGGTTCAGGAACCAGGTGCACACCTTGGAAGTCAGGGTCCCGGCTCAGACCTTCTCTCGCCGCAGCCCCACTGTCCCCTGGGCCCAGACGGGCCTTATCCCCTCCAGGGTGCACGCCTGGGAGCAGCCACTTCTGAGGTGCCTTCATCCCCTGCCCCTCCAAAGCCCGCTCGATATGCCTCCCGTCCTCCAAAGCCACATGCACACTGTGACCCCACAGTCACGAAAACACATCCATCCACTCTAACCAGCCTCCCGCAGACAGACACCCGACGTCGTAAAGCGTGTGTGGAGGGCCTGCGTGCTCAGCCAGGGCTTCCGGCACAGCCACCAGCGTGCCAGCCCCCGGCACTTGCGCCTCAGGGAGCTCCCCCGCTCTGCTTCCCTCTGCTCCCCCGGGACCCCTGTTGTCCACCCCGCCCCGCCCCCTTCCCGTCCACCTGGAGCCCCCTGTCCACCCCCCACCTGGATGACATGTCACATCCTTCCTCCTCCCTCCTGTCGCTGTCTCCTAGCAACCCGTCTCCTTCCCTGAATTCCTTCCAAGGAAATTAGAGATAATGGATCTCTCCTCTCGCCATCTCAACTCCTCTTTATTGATCTCCTTTAATGAAAGTTAATTATAACAATGATTTAATTAATAGAATCCCTCTCTTCCTTTATTGCTTCCCGTATTAAGACTATTAATAAATACGAGCTGGGCTGACAGAGGCATCCATCACCGCCTGGGATTCCCCCCCTTTCCCCTCCCCCTCGCCCCTCCCATTCTTGGCCTATAAAGTTGCCGGGGTAGTGGGGGTTAATCAGAGAGGAATTATGAGCCAACAACCCCAGCAGGAGGTGCCTTTAATGAAATCACTTGTGATTTATGTTTGGGGAGAGAAGAATCTGGAGCCCAGACACCCTGATTCCCAAACAGTGTCCCCTAGAGTAAAAGGGAGGGAGGGAGACAAGCCCCAGCTCCCACCCACAGCCCCACCAGCCGCAAGGGCCCCGCCAGGCAGGCCACCACGAGGCAGCAGTGTATGCTCCCCCCCCCCCCAGGATTTCCGTGGCTCACCTTCCTTCTCCGCAGCCCACATCTGCTTCCGCTCCCAACCTGCTGCACATGCCCTGGTCTGTGAGGCTCCAGTGCTCAGTGGACCCCTGGGTGGGCCGCCTAGACCTCACCTCACCTCCTCTGCCGGTTCCATCCTCCGTGCGCAGCCCGCACTTCCAGGCTGGGGAGGCCCCCAGAAATTTGCAGCCTTGCTTTTGCTTGCTTCCGATTTTCCTGCCCCAGGGTCCAATGCGTGGCCCAGATGGGCGCTCAGGGAAGGGAGCTCAGACTGCAGAGCAAGGAGGGAAGACAGCTGGCTTCCAGTTCTCGCTCTTTCTCCTGCTCATGTGCTCTTTGGGCAACCCAGCCTTTCTGCTGTTTCCCTCCTGTAGCATAACATCTCTTTCCCCACCGCTTCCCCTTATCCATACAGAAGCCTCTGCCCTGGCATGATTTGCGGCCCCAGTGTGAAAGGAAAAGACAGCCCAAGGAGCAGCAGATAGGAGCTCAGGTGTCAGTATTTGGTGGGAGGCCAGTGACTCCAGACGTCACTCCCCACTCTCCAAACGTGTGGGAGCCTGTGGGGCAGGTGGCCTGGTGGCCAGGTGGTCCCAGTGTCGGCCCTTCTATTCTAAGGAGCCCTGGGCTCCACAGAAGTGGGGGCGACTTTTGAATGCCTCTGAGCACATGCTTCCCCCTCCGCTTGGAGGACACCTCCTCCATGAAGCCTTACTTGACTTCCTTTAGTTATCCTCTGAGATACCACATACGGCTAAATATACTACATCGTGTCTATAGATTTCCCCTTTCTTGACTATAAGCAGCTTGAGGGTAGGCTCTTAAGTTCCGAAAGTAGAGTGGTCAGCCCTCCAAAACTCACATTTATTTTAACGAAGTGTTTCATCCAAAGATTGTATGTAAAGAAAAATGAGAACATTACTGGAGTCTGTGGCATATTTTTTAAGATTTATTTATTTATGCACACAAAAACTGGGGTACAGGCCAGAGGTGTGAGGGAGTGAGAGGATTCCCCAGAGACAGAGTGGGGAGCAGAACAGGGAAATAGACTGAAATCCACTGCTGAGGGGAGCAGCAGGGAGACAGTAGAGGTCTGCTGTGCCCTTTGGGTCACTCCCTGGCCGGGGATCAAACTCAAGCTGCGGTGGCTGCCCATCACTTGAGAGTGCTGTGCTTTAACCCCTTGTGCCACTAGGGAGGGCCCTGGAGCCTCCAGCTTCAAAGACTATTCCCAGAATCCCTAATGTGCCTGGAAGAACAAAGCGTGGTCCATTGAGACAGACTTATTTCACGCATTAAACCCACCAAAAACCCTCCCCTCAAAGAGCTCACAGTCCATAGACAACTAGTGGTCAATGCACAATAGAAGAAGGCAAGAGGAGAGTTGTTGTAGAGGACGCACAGTGTTGGGGCACTGGTGATCGAGACTGGGAGAAACGGAACTCCATGAGTGGAGATGTGGGGCTGAGTCTTAAAGAATGAATAGATGTTGAGCTGTTAGATGTTGAAGGAACGAAATGCACACACACAACTTGCTCACAAGTGTAGACACCGGCTGAGGCTGCAGTGGCGATGTGTGTGGTGTGTGAAGTGGAGCTGGCAAGACGGGCTCCTGGAATTGGCTCATGGGGTCCCTCATCAAGTGTGAGTACCCACTACGCACCAGGTGCTGTTCTGTGCACTGGGAAACCGCATGAACGGACAAGGAAGCTTGCCTGCCCTCCTCGAGTTTGCCAGAACATGCATCTCCAGAGAACTTACTGGAACAGCCCAAGCAACAGAGGCGAGGCAAGCACTGAGTTTCAGCGGTGTCAAGAAGGGGATTTCTTTAGGGTGCAGGATTAGTGGGACTTGGCGACCTTTAGATCCGGGAAGGGAAGTGAAGGGGTCAAGTTGATCCTGGACTTCTTGTTTTCAATGTTCAGATAACCAATGATGATTTTCACTGAGTAAATCATGCAAATGGATTAATACATTTGAGGGAAAGACGGAACAGTTGGACTCCACAGGTCTTTGAGGTTTTCTGAAGGAGACAGAGGTCCAGTCGGCAGCTGGATGGGCCCTTCAGCCCAAGAGTTGGGAGCTGGAGGTAGCGCCTTGAAAGTCAAGGTGATGAGAGTGAAGAAAGATCACCCAGGTCCCCCCTGCCTGTGGAAGGAGAGTGGAAGAGGGCCAAGGGCAAACCCGGGAGACCTTCAGCAGCCCAGGAAGGGAAGCGGCCTGCGAGCCCTGGCCAAGACTGAGAAGGAGCCTTCAGAGAGGCAGGAAGCAGCTGAGGAGGGCGGCAGCAGCGGCAGGAGTGAGTGCAGCGGCTCCCCGCAGCCACTGTGTCCCCAGCCAGGAGACCAGCAGTCGCCAGTGACAGGAGCCGCGGAGTGCGTTACAGGTGGAAGTTTATGGTGCAGCTGGAGTTCACAGCACCTGCCACGGACACAGCTCTGATCCCTGGGAACTGGGGCGATGTCTCCTGAAGCGCATGAAACAGACTCCTGAGTCACCAGGCAAGAAGAATCAAGGGCAGGAATCATCCCACATGCTGCTGCGGCGGATTAGCCAGGTGCGAGGCGCACTCTGAAGGCCTTTACGGGGCCTGCACAGCGCTGCCCCCGTGGTAGCCACCGGCCGCAAGCAGCCTTGAACAATGAAACCGTGACTCGGGATTGAGGTTTTATCACCGCAAGTAGTGTATTAGATTCCAAAGACTTAGAACTAAAGGAGAGTGTAAAATAATAATTTTGTACTGTGCATATTGAAGTGAGAGTGCTTTGGACATACTAGGTTAAATAAAATATAAGTTGTTATTTGGCTACTAGAAAATGTAAAGTGACTTGTGTGAGCTATATCGTTCCCACTGCACAGCACCGATCTAAGGCCTGTCCTGAGTCAGCCCCACAATCTGGACCCCTCTCGGCCCCCAGCCTCCCTCCTAGCAGGAAGAGAAACGCCTGGCATGTGTACCGCACCCCTTTGCCCCATGGCCCCACAGCGTAGCAAGACACTCCAGTGCTTCAGACCCCATTTCCAGGTCCTCAGGCCTCGGCTCTCACGTTTTTCTCTTTCCCAGGTGGACAGGTAATCAGGTGAGAACAGAAATGTCCAAACAACCACAGAGTCACACTCCTCCACGCCTAATTCCAGAACGTCTCAGGTGTTGTGTGCCAGAACTTTGTATCTATAGACTCAGCCCCCCTCAAATTTGAAAGCCATGTGGTGTCTCTTTCCCCCATTTCTCTACTCCTTTGCCTTTCTGAAGCCAGCGGACTTCTCCAAACTGGGAGAAAAATCACTGTGGTGATTACATAGGCTTTGGGGCCTCCAGACCCAATTTGTTATACCTCCCGACCATGTTACCTGGAGCCAAACACGTCCCCTCTCTGACCTCTCAACTGTGCACAACCTGGATCACGGCCACCACTCCGATGTCTGTGTGAAGCCAGATGTGGCCATTGCCTTGTACAGACCCTGGCACACACAGGCACTTTGGAGCTGGCTTTCCTACTTCTTTGCACCTTTGGAGAAAAAGGGAAAGTAAGAGCAAACGCAGGTTCGTATAGATAGGCTCGGAGCCGAGAGCCAGACGGGCACTGAGAGATACATTTTCGACTCCTCACGCAGTGCAGAAACTCCGTGCACCGTGCTCCTCGTGGGCAGTCATCAACCTCTGCTCAGACGTCTCCGGGGCCGCTCATAGGTTCACTCAAGAAGCAAGAGCAAAGCA